GGACTTGATGTACTCTCACTCCATCATCAGGCAGCTCCTCTGTCAAATGTTCCCCAGTAATGAAACCAAGACCTGAGATAATGCAAGAACATGAGTACACACATCAAGACGATTTAATGGATGAAAAAACAACGGTATAAAAATAATTCGTATTTGAGGTTGGAACACAAGAGGGTGCAGACATGCTATTGTCCTGCCGAACTTGGTTCATGCATTTAAACCAGTCATTGGTAGTTCACTTACATTGGAGAGAGAAGAACAAAGGATGTGAAGGGGATGCAAGAGGGTGGTGGGAGGGGATAGAGAATGTGTTGGATGGGAGGGGTTGTAGAATGTTTGGGATGGGAGGGATGGTGTCCGGAGGAGTGGAGAGGTACACGAGCGGCCAAGTACAAAATTTTTGTTCTGTATGCGGAATAGCGAAGGCAATGCGGCCAATATTGTCTGTGACTAAACGTACAGTGCTGTAGTCGTATTAGCACGCCCTTCCGTGTCTTCACCTCACGACTGCCGGCATTGTCATGCACAGCATTTGCTCCAAACACTTTCATCCAAGATCAAGTTGCATCGGAATCAAATTAGGACAAGAAAATTGGGCTGGAAACACGAAACATTTATTCAAACCAATATGATTTCCACAATAGATCTTACCGCTGTGTCACCGCTACCTAAAAGGGATTGTCAAATGAAAGGGTTGATTCAATTTCTGTTAATGCGTTTACGAGGTGATTTTTGAATCTTCATTAGTCGCTTCACTTGCTCTGTTCTTGACGGTCAACCAATCAGAGACGGTGTAAGAAGTCGAACCGGCGACCAGGCAATCAACCCTAACACCGCAAAACAAAACATCTAACAAATGGAAATTCTTTATTATTTTCTGGTAATCCTGTTTGACATTCCAACCACTGGGCAATTTGATTCTGTGAAAATAGGAGCAAATATTCATCTTTTCTCAACAAATGTATCAGGCTTCAAATGCGACAGTTTTTTCACAAACACGACTGCACATCGGGATGATTAAATAGAGTATTGCGCGTGTTTATGCGCTGATGGCAAATTTGAAAGACTTCCATGTTTTAATTTAAAGTGATATTCCGATAAGAGGTTTCAATTTACACGGTGTTTTATCTGATATGAATGTAGTGGATGTGTTTGTGTTAAGGGTGTATCAGGGGAAGGCTGTCGTTGATGTAGTCGTGGTTAAGGTATATCAGAAGAAGGCTGTCGTTGATGTAGTAGTGTTAAAGGTATATCAGAGGAAGGCTGTCGTTGATGTAGTTGTGTTAAAGGTATAGCAGAGGAAGGCTGTCGTTGATGTAGTTATGTTAAAGGTATAGCAGAGGAAGGCTGTCGTTGATGTAGTTGTGTTAAAGGTATAGCAGAGGAAGGCTGTCGTTGATGTAGTTATGTTGTATAGGAGAGGCTGTCGTTGATGTAGTTGTGTTAAAGGTATGTTGATGTTAAAGGTATCAGAGGAAGGCTGTCGTTGATGATGTCAGAGGAAGTCGTTGATGTAGTGTGTTAAAGGTATATCAGAGGAAGGCTGTCGTTGATGTAGTTGTGTTAAAGGTATATCAGAGGAAGGCTGTCGTTGATGTAGTTATGTTAAAGGTATATCAGAGGAAGGCTGTCGTTGATGTAGTTATGTTAAAGGTATATCAGAGGAAGGCTGTCGTTGATGTAGTTATGTTAAAGGTATATCAGAGGAAGGCTGTCGTTGATGTAGTTGTGTTAAAGGTATATAGCAGTTAAAGGTATATCAGAGGAAGCTGTCGTTGATGTAGTTGTGTTAAAGGTATATCAGAGGAAGGCTATCGTTGATGTAAAGGTATATCAGAGGAAGGCTGTCGTTGATGTAGTTGTGTTAAAGGTATATCAGAGGAAGGCTGTCGTTGATGTAGTTGTGTTAAAGGTATAGCAGAGGAAGGCTGTCGTTGATGTATATCAGAGGAAGGCTGTCGTTGATGTAGTTGTGTTAAAGGGTATATCAGAGGAAGGCTGTCGTTGATATGTTAAAGGTCAGAGGCTGTCGTCGTGTTAAAGGTATATCAGAGGAAGGCTGTCGTTGATGTAGCTGTGTTAAAGGTATATCAGAGGAAGGCTGTCGTTGATGTAGTTGTGTTAAAGGTATATCAGAGGAAGGCTGTCGTTGATGTAGTTGTGTTAAAGGTATATCAGAGGAAGGCTGTCGTTGATGTAGTTGTGTTAAAGGTATATCAGAGGAAGGCTGTCGTTGATGTAGTTATGTTAAGGTATTAAAGGTTATGTTAAAGGTATCAGAGGAAGGCTGTCGTTGATGTAGTTGTGTTAAAGGTATATCAGAGGAAGGCTGTCGTTGATGTAGTTGTGTTAAAAGGTATATCAGAGGAAGGCTGTCGTTGATGCAGTTGTGTTAAAAAGGTATATCAGAGGAAGGCTGTCGTTGATGTATAAAGGTATCAGAGGAAGGCTGTCGTTGATGTAGTTGTGTTAAAGGTATATCAGAGGAAGGCTATCGTTGATGTAGCCGTGTTAAAGGTATATCAGAGGAAGGCTGTCGTTGATGTAGTTGTGTTAAAGGTATATCAGAGGAAGGCTGTCGTTGATGTAGTTGTGTTAAAGGTATATCAGAGGAAGACTGTCGTTGATGTAGCTGTGTTAAAGGTATAGCAGAGGAAGACTGTCGTTGATGTAGCTGTGTTAAAGGTATAGCAGAGGAAGACTGTCGTTGATGTAGTTGTGTTAAAGGTATAGCAGAGGAAGACTGTCGTTGATGTAGTTGTGTTAAAGGTATATCAGAGGAAGGCTGTCGTTGATGTAGTTGTGTTAAAGGTATAGCAGAGGAAGGCTGTCGTTGATGTAGCTGTGTTAAAGGTATATCAGAGGAAGGCTGTCACTCTTTCTTCCAGGATAGTCCTGTCGCTTACCCCTTCTCTGGTCTACCCGTACTTCGTCTAGCATTCAGTTTGTGCTGCATTCACCAGAATATCACCACGTGTCCTCCCAACTAGCCTTACTTGTTAACTCGGCTGTTGCCCATTCATCACCTCCTTCTTGAAACTTCGCTCCTTCTCGCCAGACATGAACATACGATTATAACCTCCAGTTCTGCACAAACTCGCGTTTCTTGCTCTTTTTCTCTGCCACCCTCTTTCACTATTCTCCATCCATCCACATTACCTTCCCTCCATCCCCTGCCTCAACCCTCGATCTCTCCCCATCACTCTCTCTATCACACTGTCCTCTATCACTCTAACAATTCTTCCTTCAATCAGTTCCGGCACTGTGCTGGATTGACTCGTGCCATTGTTTCTCCAAGTCCTTCCATGAGCTCATCCCTCAAGACACTCACCCCAAAGGCATATCTCCAAATAGCTCGCTATTGTTCACTTCTTCTGGTCTTCTGTCCAGATTTCCTTAGTCTTTTTGCCATTACCTCGCTACGTCGTCTCTAGCTTCCACCACATCCACGTCTGGCAACCATGTTCCTCCTCTACTTCCGCGGTCGATGCAATATGCAGCATGAACGGACTCCCTCCGTGATGTTACTCGGTGATACACCCTAATAAGCTTGTAGTGGGATGAAGTGTTCTTTCTCATCATGTCAGAAAAAAAACACAAAGATCCGAGCGGAGCTTTGGTAAATGAGTTTGAGTTACGTAAGACTTAATGATTTCATATGAAGCTAGGGATGTAAACACATCAAGCGATGTAAGTGTCGTTTACAGGGAGCACGTGGAGACAATTACCCCCGAATCGAGGGGGAAGGGGGATGTAGCAGGTCGTTAGCAGCCTACAGTAATGGGCCAGGTTTACTCGCCCATAAAATAACAAACCTTAAAGACAAGAGGCAGATTGCCGGTGAAGCTGATCAACATCTTGCCCCCATCACACCAGGAGAGCGAGGCAAGCAGCCGATTCATCTTCTGTAGTTTAGCGGGAAATTAAATCAAAACCGGGGGAGAGAATATATGACTTTATAGTGTTGTAGCCTTTATATTAAAGCATTTGTCAATATCCGTCAATGAAGTAATATATGAGGGAGAGGGCCAGTAACGGCAATCTCTTCCAAGGTCCTCTGACGTGCGATCGTCTCTCCATCTCGTTATTGAACGTTATTTTATGACTGAAACGGATGACCTTGGGTAGCAAATGGCCAGTGATTTGCAATGTAACCGTGTTATCGCGTCGCGATGATTGGGTGGCTTCCACGATGTAATGAAACCTATTTACCACACATACTACCTCAACGATGAAGGAGGGGAAAAATCCCAACAATTATAACCCAGAAGAGGTGTTGTGAACCTCATGATAGTGTTCATGATGTTGTCAGTCTCCAGCTAGCTGACACGGGGAACATCTCTCGTCGTGGTCTAACTTCCAAGTCTTTAATCGTCCGACAGCCATAACAACACATGCGCGCCCGGTAAAAACCAGGTGGCTTATAGTGACCGGAAGTGCATCCATATGCTGACCGGAAGTGCGGTAACCGTAAATGTGACCTGATGCTTGTCGGTCATGTCCAGTTATCTGGCGTCCATCCTGGACTTCAGCAAGTTGTGGCTTCTCTTCAAACCACTGTTGGAAGCGGGAAGCAACGACGTAAGACAAAATCGTATTGCTTATGAAGTTATGTGTTATTTATTTAACTGTCCATCGATACTGACCATCGCCATGTTATACGCGCGTTATTACCACACATCAGCCGATGTCAACGAAGCAACTGTTCGCCTCAGCTATTGCACACACTCGTACTAACCACATCATCCACGACCTTGACCTGACCTGTCGACATCCCATCATGTGTCAGGGTCACCTCTAGTGAGGACAACGCCTCATCTGACATCATCGCAGACTGTTGGCGATTATTCCATGCACGATATCTTACCCTGTGAATCCATGAAAATAAGCCATATAATGTGTAGATGGTGCTTTAACTTGTATTTGGTGGGTTTCTGTTGTTTGTACATTGTCCACCATATATGTGATGTATATATAACTGATGTATTCTATTGTTTCAGCTGACGGACGAGGAGCGTGTTTTCCTGAACGCTGCTTACCTTGGTGACGTGGGCATTGTCCGTCAGTCTCTTGAAGAGAGCGGAGAGTCGAACCTCAACGTCAACTGCGTCGACTACATGGGCCGCAATGCTCTCCACTTGGCCATCGACAGCGAGAAGCTGGACGTCATCGAGATCCTCCTTGACAATCTGTCCTTCAACTGCATCGAGGAGGCGCTTCTACACGCCATCAGCAAGGGAGGAACTAAGATTGTCAAGCTTGTCATCGAACATCCGAATTTCATGGCCGGAGAGGATAGGTTGCGGCGACTTGGGGGAGGGGAGGCGTTCTTCAGGACAGAGGAGAAATCTCAGTTCCCCCCTGATATAACCCCCGTTATTTTGGCCGCACATTATAACAACCACGAGATTATACAGATGTTTCTCTCACGGAATCATACCATAGAGAAGCCCCATCCTATCTCGTGCAAGTGCAGTGATTGTGTCTCCAAACAGAATTATGATTCGTTAAAAAGGTCAAGGTCACGTTTGAACGCTTACCGTGCGCTCGCAAGTCCAGCATACATGGCGCTGTCCAGCCCCGACCCAATAATGACGACCTTTGAACTACGACAGGAAATGATGAAATTAGCGGAAGTGGAAAAAGAGTTCAAGGTAGGTGGGCATGACGTTTAGATAGGAAATCATACCAATCCCGAGAGGGCGTTAATCTGGATTTACTTCATTGTCGTGTTTACGTCAATCTGTTATTTCTGTCTTACTCTGCTCTTTGAACTATGACTTACATAGGACCAGCCGTCTTACAAGAAGTGTCAGTAATTGTCTGAAAACAGTAAATTTTGTACAACATTGTAAAAGCACACCCATTCACCGTCCTGAAAGCGTCAACGTTTAATCTCCGAAGTGAACAACAGTTCAAATTAGATACGTACGATCACATCAGAAACTATAGCTGTAACTTGTCCACGTAATGCGCGCACCGATTTGTGTATGTGCTGAAGAAGGGGAAGGGGGTTGGGGGTGGTTGTCTGCGTTTGACTGATGTATGAAGTGTGTGTAGTTATTGAAGAATATGACAGGCTTCCATCAAGACCAACAGTTTTAGAACCTGTATCAGACAACACGTGACCACCACAGCCCTCAGTGGAAGCTTTATGATTGAATACCTTATCCTTCTATCTCCATCTTTCACGGCAAGTATATTCTGACGTGTGTTATTTTGTGTAGGTGTTACAACCGTCATGAATGTCATTTCCCTGCCACTCTGTTCGAGGAGCTGTTTTTGACTCGGTGAATAACCGATCTCGACAACGGCTGCCCGTCTCCTGAACGCGTGGGCGTGATCAAACACTTACAACATTTTACAGACAAACTAAAAATGTATTTCAGTATGTACAGGCGAGCGTCCCGTATAATGCTTCGATCACAGCTGATCGATCTCATACACACGAGAAAAGAACATAAGTAAACCCCTTTCCCTAATCATGAGAAATATTTGTTGATTGTGACATTCTGACTTGTGTATTTACGAATCACTACCGCGTGATAACACCAGGTGTTTGCGGAGAGCGAATCCTGTCCCACCGAAACACCATCGTGTGTCAAAGGTTAATGATGCAGTTAAGTAAAGGAATGGAGCAGCAGTTAGACCTTCCCGTGTGCAAATCAAATCAACACGCATTGGTATATTAAACATATACGAACCAGTTGACATAAGATACATTTAATACATCGACGGTGTTTGGAAACAACTCGAATGTTTGTTTATTAACAAAGAGGGGAATATCTAGTGGTTACACGGGCCGCAATTCGCTGTGCAGAGTTGCTTCCCTTACACGTACAAGAATCCGCTGATCTCACACTGTTTCGTGGTTTGTCAGCACCAGGCCCGTGTTCGTTCACGGCTTTCAAAGTAGAACGCCTGGTCTACCTGCACCACGTTCAGCATCCTCCGACATCAAGCTGGCACTGTCACTTTTATTCCCTCAATTATCACTTGTATCTGCTAGGTACCGCTGTCTGTGGTTGAGTAGTGTAAAGTAACACACCCCTTCTGTATATTCGTGAAACGGAACGTTATCAATTTAAACTGAATAACAAGTTAAATGTCTCCTCAGTCGATTAAATGTTGACTCTCCTTTAGTTAAACTCACTATTTGATGGTTTATACTGCAATAAACTCACACAAGATAAAAGTCAGTTGCTATATCGTTTTTTGTGTCGCTATATTTACCTCCGATAATTTTACCTCCTCGTATCTTGACCCAGATCTATACACAGTCTGTACGTTCGTGTGACGTCATGCATGTTCCCACAACAACCATCTGCTTCGCGGAATACAGTAGTTCCTCAAAAACAGAGGACGCGATTCTATGCTCACCATTAGATGACCAGGATCTGTGACGAACTACCACAGTGATCCTCGCGATATGCGAGACAGGAGAGATTTCCGAAATTGTTACTGAACAAGTGTTCGTCATCACCGATCTATAGGCCCGTTGATGATATAGATGGGTCCAGCAGATACTTGACACATGTTACATACGACATTGTGGATGTGCAGTTGTATCGTTTTGTTCACTAGGATTGATCGCAGCATCGATATTCGTGAACGGTGATGCAGTCAAAAGTGGGGTAGCCTAGGGCAATACGTTCGCTCGTCCCGCCGAAGACCCGGGTTCGATTCCCCTCATGGGTACACTGTTTGAAGCCCATTTCTGGTGCCCCCGTCGTAATATTGCTGGAATATTGCTAAAAGCGGCGTAAAACGTATGCTGAGACGGTGCGTTCGAGATTACAGGTGTTAATGGCCAGAAACAACACTTCTATGTGTATTCATGCAGGGGAATCCCCTGGGTTTTCCCTGCATGTGGTGATGTGGCCGGTCTGTATTTACGTCAGTTCTGGAAGATTGTTTCGCGTAAAACGTGTGAACATCAAATTGCGTCGTTCAAAGCGTATGAATATTGCTTCGAGGTCGTGTGAAGTGCTGAATATCGTGTAAACCTTACATTAAATAATTATCTGACTTTATTCAAACTATCTCCCAGTTCACCAAGCAGGGAACGGGAGCCTGTAGGGTGAGATTGGCTGTTAACCGACTATCTCCTCATAGACGGCTTGGGATGGTAATCGCCAGGTAACCGACGGTGAAAAATTGCCTTGTTAAAGGCAATACTACCTACTGCGGAGTAAACCAGGTGAAAACCTGCCGCAGCTTATAACGGAATGGCCGAGTGGTCAGGATTGCACATGGGGTGATATATGTATATCTCTTCTTGATGGGCTCATTATTATATCAAATATCACTTCATGTAGCGGTAGGCTGTACAAAGGCGAGTGACGCTACAACCAGGATGCTTTACACACTTTCCCCTGACGGATACCTGGCCCAAATGCCGCTGCATGTTTGAGATGCTTTCATTCCAGACTATACCAATTGCCCAAAAGCTCACCTGTGATGCAAAAACGCTTCAAAAGGGCGTCGAATGAGTTCCGAGTCATGAAAACGTTCAGCTTGTTATATGTTTATGGCCAAGTATCAGATACAGTTACCTGTAATTAAGTAACAGGTATGAATAAGGAGGAATTATTCGTCCAAGACAGTCTGAGTTGCATGTATTCATTGTGGGATCACATGTGTGAGCGATATTACTGCCTTGATCGCGATGTGTATGTCCCGCCCCTCTGCTTCGTTAGCAGGGGTTTATTCCCCCTCCCCCACCCACACACGCGCGTTCCATGCTAACCAGCATAACATGATTAATTTCACACGTTATTACAGCCGAAGGAAGGGATCCACACGCCATATGACGGCTATCATAACTTATTGCAAAATAAGCGAATCGCTTACGTAAAAGCAGTAAAAGAGAGAATTTCATTAAGTGTTAAATGATTTATAATGTTTTAGTGTTTTTTCCCCTGCTGGACCAAATGAACTGGATGTTATGCAACAAAATGGGAATTATCGTCACTTGCTTTCGTGGGAAGTTATTTAAATATCACTCTATTTCTCGCGCTGTCGGCAGATGCTCAGGCTCCCGAGTGTAACGTGCTCTAATTGCCATAAATGAAATCATGTTCTGAAGGCGGAAATATGATTATTTTCATTTTAAACATTATTTAGTGGGTGAAATAAAATGTAGATAATTGATACAACATTAGGAATATCTTTGCTGGGCTTATTATTCTCGCGTCTGTTTCGGTTCGAAGAAGACAAGGCAAACAGCAGACGCCATTTTGGTGGCCAGCTCTCCATGAAAAACATTTTTTTGCGGTTGAAACTTCAGTAATGGGATAAATAAATATAAAATCACCGTTCAACATCTTACTCCATCACTAATCTAGGCCACACATCACTCGTCTGTTGGGAGGGTGGAATCTTGTCCTAGTTCTCTCCCAACGTCAAGCTGGAATGATGAACAGCAGATTGGTACCGTCAAGCCATTATGATTGAATCAGATGGGTACCTTCAAGTCATAACGATTGAATCAGATGGGTACCTTCAAGTCAAAACGATTAAATCAGATTGGTATCATCTATCAAATCTATTCGCGTCATATTTATCACATCGTGAACGGCCTTAACGATTGGACCAGATCACATCTTGCCAAAACGATTAACGTCAGTTTGGTACCATTGTATGAGCGTGACTGACGTCGGAATGGACCCTTGAATGGCCCAGGTCTGATTGGTAGTGTAACCTTGAAACGGCTCACGTCAGATTGGTACCATACCGGAAGGTTTATGTCAGACTGGTACCATGCCACCCAAATGATTGACGACAGAGTGACACCATCAGGCCGAAAGACTTCAGACGGCCTAGTATATACCAGGCGACCAAAATTATTGTAAGAATGGTACTATTAGGCCGAAAAGGTTGATGTCAGGTTGGTACCATATCCCCAAATGATTGACTTGAGATTGACACCAGTAGGTCAGAGCTGCCCACGATACACTGATGAGATCTGAATGAATGACTGACAGTAACGTGGTGTGAAAAGGGTAATTATTCCGGCGTTGAGCAAGCACACCACCTGATACTGACCAGATGACTCGGCTCACTGAGCAGTACTACCCTTGAGTACCGTCTGGTTGGCTTGGCATTGATCGACAGCAGGAGACACGGAGCAGTCAGGACCTGTCGTTATACACTTGGACAGATAGTGATACGTAGTCAATACAGAAGACCAGGATTGGCCACACAGCGTTAGGAAGTGACTCATGTACCCTGTAATGTAGTTATATTACTGATTTAGTGCTTGGCTAATTTACGTTGCACTGTCAGATAAGGTTAATAGCGCGGATACTGGCTCAACATCTAAGACGTTATAAGATAAACGGAAAATTTGAACATCTCAACATATTTCATATTTATTTTTGATATGAACCCACGGAGCGATATAGACACAACCACCCCCCCCCCCCCCCAGTCAAAGTATTACTTCTTTCAGTGGCATGTTACAATAATGACAACTATTATTTCATTTTACTCACTGACCCTCCCCACAACTGCCGAGTCCCAAGGTCATCTCAGAGGCTATTCACGCTGCTCCTTGTTAAGCAACGTCACGGCAAATATATAAATATAGACAAGATTGTTTTACCTTTGGTGTGTAGATGGATCTGTAAGTGACGTAATTAACTGTCTGAGA